GATCTAGATTCTACATCTACTAGACTCTGCCAAAGATGACCAGGTCGATCAGTGAAAGGCATTACAAAATAGATCTAGATATCTAGATGTCTAGATCTAGATTCTAGATCTGATAGCGATAAGGACAATGCATAGTCTGCCCATTGCAGGGATTTCTGCAACTCCAGAGACAATCACACAATGAATGATGGGCGTAGGCCTAGCCTACACTAGATCTAGAATCTAGATTCTAGATCTAGAGATCTAGATCTAGATCTATACTACTCCTTGCCTTAGCCTACTTTTGCCACTGATATTCAAATCTAAATTTTAGATATTTTACATAGGCTAATACTTGAAAAATGCAAGAATCTAGAGCTAGATTAGATCCATGCCTAACTTGAGAAAAGAAAGTGCCGAAATAAATAAATGCCAGACGATGTTTCTCCCGCCACTAACAGACAACAAATGAAGAGTCGTCAAGAATTCTTGATCTCTGGAAGAAAGGCAAGTAGTCTAGTCTAGATCTAGCCAAAAAGACCTCACATCAATTAAAGATCGCATGCAAAAGTGTTCTCACCATCGGCGACATCCTCTTCAATTGAGCCTTTCACCTGGGAGAAGCACCACTGTATTTCGCCACCGTTGGCTGTGGAAATAAAACAATATTTGTGATAGAAGGGACATTTAACTAGATGTCAATCTATGCACCAATGTCTTATTATCGAGCACTAAAAAACATTCTCATGCAAACAAACTTACCTGCCATGTCAATGTGTAAAAGAGAATCCCTTATCACATTTATTTTTTATCCACCAATAATAAGAATGTTTGCTCCAAAACTGCGCATTCAAATGATAGATGTCATTCGATTGAAACTAGGCTACTTCTCCATTTCCGCTTGGTATCCCTGTTTCAAAATGGCGAACTTCTTAGTAAAAATTAATGACGTCACGGCGAAAGGCATTGTGGGTTATATTATTCTGTGACTGTCAGTAGGCCTGGCCTAGAGGCTAGGTAGCCTGCTAGCCTAGGCTAACCGAGGCCAAGGAATCATTTCAATATTCGGGGATCTGGCACTTATAATTTTAAAAATCTACCAAAAAGAAAAAAATCCTCGACAACAAATAGATCTAGTATAAACATAAAAAGAAGCAACAACAAAAATGTATAATATTTTTTCATTTCATATAGATCTATATCTTGTCTGCTCCAGTTTTTTTTTCTTCCGGGCTTGATCAGAGACACTAGTGTCTCTGGCTTGATAATCGGATTTACCCGTTGATCAGCCAAGCGGTTGACTTGATATTTTAATGGTTACCTCCCCTTTATAGTTCTGTGGTGTGTGGCCTAGACGGTCAGAGAGAATGTATAGTATAAGAACGTATAGTGTGTGGCTGATCACCGATGGATCAAAACAACTTGGAAAAGCCGTGTGTGAGTGAGTGTGTGTGTGTGTGTGTGTGTGTGTGTGTTTGTGTGTGCGTTTGCGTGCGTGCGCGCGTGTGTGTGTGTGCGTGTGTGTGTGCGTGTGCGTGTGTGTATTTAATTGTAGGTATTTTTACGCCACCCTCGACGCAATTTAGATCATTGAAGATCAGGAGGGCCAATCAGGGCTGAGTGAAACAGCGTCCCAGAGGAACGACAGCGATAAAAATTCTACCTAACGGGAATCGAACTCAAGCATCATGTATTATCGTTATTATCATTAGGCCTAGTGTTGCATTAGTTACTATTACCATTTATGATATCGTTTAACTATTGCTGCTGTTGCGATATATACACTATCATAATGTATCCGTTATTTGTGGTTTTACAAGTAATAAAATTATAGGCTAATCATCATCATCACAGTATTTAGTATCAGCACTAGCAACGGAAAAGAATATATTTTTCTCATTTCTTTGCGTGGTGAGTGGATATAGATACAAATAATTGTATTGTGATTGTTGTCCTGCCACTGCAGATGTTGAGCTTAGATTACTATTCTGCAGTGACTGTTTCAATGTTACCCCAGCTGTCGCCGCAGCTTGTCTACTACTGATATCTTCGAGATCTGACTACATGCTATTAAAAAACGTATGACGGTGAAGCGTCTGACCACTAGATCTACACCACAAACGCCGGTGAGTATCATTTACACTATGCAAGGATGATGATGATAATGATGATGATGATGATGATGATGATGATGATGATGATGATGATGATGATGATTTCTTTACAATTAGCCCCTTGGCCTTTCACCCACTTAGTCACTTCCGTCTAGCCTGTAACCACACGTAACCTTAAGATCCCCTTTGTTAGGCCCATTTCCCTGCTAATATACAGCGCTCGTTTGGTTTTTCTCTCAGTTGCTCCTGAGGAAGCCCACAGGGCGAAACGTTGAGCTACTAAACAAATTTAAACATTTTATATTGTTATTTCATTTTTGTCTAAAATTAAAACAAGACTCTCCCTTCTACCCTGCTTACCAAAAAATGATGATGATGATGATGATGATGATTTTTTTAATGCCTTTTTTTTTTTTGGTAAGTGTTTTACGGCGTTCGCAACAGCATACGATCATATGAGCGCGCGGGACACATTAAACATTTTCAGTTGGTAGGAGATTTTGGATTTTGCCGAAACCTACTCTAACCGATTTTAGACCAGAAAGGAATCTTTAGCGTGCGCAACTGGCACACGGGTCATCCGAGATTTTTCGCCCTTGAAGATAAGCAGAAGATAAGGGGTGTGGCTGAAAGACAGCAGTAAGAAAGAGCCAAGAAGTAGGAGTAGAAAAGCTGCAGAAAGAGTAAGGAGCTCAGAGGAGGGGGCAAAGGAGATGAGGGGGTGGGAGCAGAAAGAGACGAAAGCAGACGACAGAACATTGCTAGAGAACAGAATAGGGGGTGAAAGGAGACAATTTTAGATTAGAAAATGTTTCCGTCGCTACACGGATTCGAACCCGGGGATGATGATGATGATGATGATGATGATGATGATGATGATGATGATGATGATGATGATGATGATGATGATGATGATGATGATGATGATTGTACTACCATCATCATCACTACTATTGTATTTGTTGCTGTTACTAATTTATAGTATAATTCAACTATTACTTCTGTTGCTACGTGCTTTATCATAGGTATTATTATTACATAACATTTTACAACAATTGCCATTATCATAACAGTTGTGGTAGTAGCAACAGCAGAAAGTTTTTTTGTTTTTTTTTCTATTCTCTTTATGCAATGCTCTGATAAAAATTATATACAATATGGGTTGCGATTGTTGTCCTTTCATTACAGATTAAGGGCTCATTACTATCCCGCACTGGCTGTTGTTGTTGTTTTTTGTGTGTTTTTTTTTGCTAGCCTCGCTGTAGCCGACTGTGACTGATAAATGGACTAATAAATGGACAGCGCTCACGAGGCGGGATCATCATCATCATCATTGCCTTTCTCACCCTGCATCAGGGTATAAGCCACGGACAAACACCCCCCACTTTTCTCTATCCTGGGCTAGCCTCTTGGTGTTATTCCATGTCTTCCCACTTTTCTGTACATCCTGCTGATACAGAAGCTCTCCGTCTCCCAAGATCGAAAAATAAAAAGCTGTGTTTGTCCGTGTTTCTGTAACTTACTGGTTTTTTACTGGGTTGGGTAGTTGGCCCTCCGCAAACTGGCACTTTTCGGGCGACCAGACCTATGCACTTTTAGTCGCCTCTTACGACACGCAGTATCACAGCAGGTGTATTCTTTGCTCCCCCCCTAGTAAAACTACGGGGCCCCCCACCAGCAGGGGAGAAAAGAGGCGGGATACGTATGGAGAAATAATAGGGAAATGTGGCCGGGGCGGGAGAAGGGGCAACTCCTTGGCTTGCGTTGTTATTGTTACGCTTGATTTAAGTGTGGCTTATCATTATCATTGACATCTTCGAGCTATGAATGATTGCATGCTAATCAAGGAGCTTACTGTAAACTCCTTGATGCTAATGCTCTGTAGATTTTCATGCGCAAGAGGTTGTAGGTCACAGGAGCTGCTGCATGGTATTTAACTTAGCAAAACATCTTAATTGTTTTGTTTCTCTGAAAATTACATTGAGATTTTCTCGCTTATCCGTGCAGATTTTACGACATTTCTGAGCTAACTTTTAGAAAAGCCTGCTGACCACACAGAACGACGATGAAAGCTATTAAAATGCGTTACAAATTCGACAACAGTAAGCAAACAGGGCTGAGGACACGACACAAGTGATGTTTGCTATTATAGTCATTCAAAGGAAAAGTGTACAAAAAAAATATATATTGTATTATACATGTATAATAAGGAAGCATTTTCACGTCGACTGTTTCTTTAAAGCAAGAACACACTGAGCATGCACATACACAATAGCTAAACAAAATACAGCATTGAGAGGCGAAGAAGACTACCGCAAATTAATAATATAATAGGTTGCCCCATTGAAACACTTGAGCTTGAGGGAAAAGACGAAAGACTACAAAAGTAGGGGGAATGACCTGAGGAAGTTATTCTGTTGAAGCGATGGCAGTCGCCAAAATGTTTAAAGTGCTTCGTATTTACGTATGAGAGCCAGGGCGTTTGTGCGAATGTGTGTGTGTGTGTGTGTGTGTGTGTGTGTGTGTGTGTGTGTGTGAA